CCCTCAATCATACTTGAATTCGAGTTAATAGGGTGACCCAGATAGCTTCAGGCTGGGGATCTGGTGGCCAGAGGAAGCATCATGTGATTAGAGGGTTAGCGCTTTCCGCCCCACACCCAACCTCCCAGAGGCTAATGATCAAATCCATCATGCCTGGCAGAATCTCCATAAACTATGGGCTTTAGAGATTTCTGAGCGGGTGAACATGTGCTCCGGCCAACGTGCCCCCCTCAAACTCCAGTAGCAGAGCCCCTGTGTTCTGTCTCTTAGATCTATTTACCGCCTTCTCCAGATGTTCATTTGTATACTTGATTACTGCTCCTTGCAGTGGGGCATTTCCTTAACTTCCTTAAGCCACTGTAGCAAATTAGGAAACTATAGGAGGTTGGAGGAGCCCCTGTTGGTGTTTTTCTCTGTTGCTATGATGACTGGGGGGGTCACAAGCGCACACAAAACAGTGCTCATGGGGCTGGCCCTCCCTTTAGCTGACTGTGCTTGCATACAGTCTGATTGCGCTAATGGGGGTGGGAGGTCCCCAGGCTGCATGTGTGCCCCTTCTCCTCCAAGTGTCGCGCCTCTGCGATGTGGGTGCCTGCACATCTCTTTCAGTTGTCACAGTTACTGAAGGTCCCACACTTTTATTTTGGGCTTTGGGGCCACAACTGGCAGTGATCAGGGATCACTTGCACATGGTCAACCTCGGTTCAATTCCTGGCTTCCCATATGGTCCCATGATCATTGCCAGGAGTGATTCCTGAGCACAGAGCCAGGAGTAATCTCTGAATATAACTGGGCATGGTCAACCACCTCACCCCACCTCACTAAGCAAATATTATCAAAACTCTTTTGAAAAAAAAAGCAATTGTTGGGGCTGGAATGATAGTACAGAAGGCAGGGCGTTTACTTTGCATGCAGCCGATCCTGGCCCATTTCCATCCTTGGCATCCCATATGGACCTTCGAGCACTGCCAGGAGTAATTCCTGATTTCAGAGCCAGGAGTGACCCCTGAGCACCACCAGATGTGACCCATAAAGCAAAAAATAAATAAATAATTACGGTCCTCCCGTTGTTCATTGATTTGCTTGAGCGGGCCCAGTAACGTCTTCATCATGAGACTTGTTGTTACTGTGTTTGGCATATCGAATACGTGACGGGTAGCTTGCCAGACTCTGCCGTGCGGGCGAGATACTCTCGGTAGCTTGCCGGGCTCTCTGAGAAGGGTGGAGGAATTGAACTCGGGTCGGCCATGTTGGCCACTTATAAGGCAAACGCCCTACCGCTGTGCTATCGCTCCAAAAAGAAGTAGTTGTTGGGCCAGAGAGATAGTACAGGAGTTAAGACACTTTGACTTTCATGCAGGTAACCCCAGTTCGATCCCCAGCATCACATGGCCACCTGAGTAGTGTCTGGACTGACTAAACATGGAAACAAGGAGTACACTTGAGTACCGCTGGGTATTGCTGCAAAACTAGAAAAACAAAACAATTGTGGTGGTATCTGACTGCCAAGCATGGGGCCAAGAGTTTAATTCCCAGTAAACTCACCATGTGCCAAGCCTGGAACCTAGCAGCTCTGTTGTCTGAGGCCCCTGGTACTAGAAACCATTTCCAGCCACACCTTGCCAGGTGTGCGCAGCACTGCTACTAAGAGTGTAGCCTCAGTGAGCACAGTAAGATGTGTGAGCACTGCAGCCAGGGGGACCCGCCACTCCCCTACCCCAGCGGGCACATGTTTGAGCACATCAATAATCACAGCCTCACTACAAGCAGATTATGTGCTGGCACCATGAATAAAGGAATGTAATCACGGGGCCATAAAGATAGTACATTGGGCAGGGCCTAGCACCAAATAAGACCTCTGAGCACTGCCAGGAGTAAGTTCTGATTACTGCTGGGTGTGGTCCTAAAGCAAAATCACTTCACTTATCACTTAATCACTTAATCACTTAATCCCCGTTATTCATCGATTTATTCGAGCGGGTGCCAGTAACGTCTCCATTCATCACGGTTGCGTGCTAGCGTAGCCCAATGGTATCTGTTCGTTTTAGGAACATGTAGAGCCTCAAACCGATCATTTAGGGTCTTGACGAAGAAGTCTGACCATCTTATAGGTGGGCGTCCACGTGATCTTTTGATGTCTCGTGGAATCCAATCAGTAATGGCTCTAGTCCAGCGGTTGTCTGTAAACCTCATTACATGTCCAGCCCATCTGATTTTTGATGTCTTGGCAAATGAGACAGCGTCTCTGATTCTTGAGCGTTGACGAAGATCAGAACTCCGGATTCTATCTCTCATTTGAGTGAATCGTGATATTCCAAGCATAGTTCTTTCGATTCCTCTTTGAGAGACCCGAATAGTGTTCTCATCCTGTTTTCGTAGGGTCCAGGTCTCTGAGGCATATGTTAATGCAGGAAGAATAGTGGAATCAAAGAGATGTGCTCGTAGTTGGAGGTTCTTTGTCCTTTTAGTTATTTCTTCAATGCTCTTGAAGGCATTCCAAGCCGCTCTCTTCCTCCTGCGTAACTCAGGTGCCAGGTCATTCATCATGTTGATTTCTTGACCTAAGTATATATAACTGTTGCATTCGGAGATGGTGGTTCCGTTGAGAGCGAATGGAGCGTCAGGAACAAGGCTGTTTCTCATTCCCCTAAAGCAAAAAGGAAAAAAAAATAGAGATGCAGCTGGAGATAGAGTAAAGATATAGTAAAGCAGGTAGGGCATTTGCCTTACACGCTGCCAACCTACGTTCCATCGCTGTCATCCCACATGGTCCTCTGAGCACTGCCAGGAGTAATTTCTGAATGCAGAGTCAGAAGTAAGCTCTGAGCATGGCTGTGTGTGGCTCAAACAAAAACAAGCCAAAAAAGAAGAAAAGAATGCAATCCCGTGCACACACAGACACACACACACACACACACACACACACACACACACACACACTGCACACTGCCATCTAATGTGGGGTCTCCATTGAGACAAGCCTTGCAACTAAAAGATTCTAGCACCAAAACCAAATATTTGTGCTTCCCCCAGTCATCACACATCACTATAGAAGGGAAGAGTCGGGGAGAGAAAGCAACTTAAAGTTTCCATTTGCGAGTGAATCCTCATCTACTTGATTTCTGAAGAAGCTGTGAGTTCTGCTGAGAGAAGCATTCTGGGATGATTTCCAGCATCAAGTAAAAGTGAACAGATCTCCAGGATGAGCCTGCTACTTTTGTTCTGGGCAGAGGCCTCCAGGATCCAAGCACAGCCCCGCAGGAGCCTAGAGGTTCTCAGGAATGCCAGGCTCTTGCCCACAGGGCCCCCCTGGGTCATCTAGGGCATTGTGAGGCAAGATAGAACCAGAACTACAGGCTCAAGACAAGCAGTGGATGCACTTCTAATCCCTTCAATGTGTATATCTCTGAAGGGATTGGCCTGACCAAGTAAGATGGGGCTGCCTTTCCCAAAGTGGTATTAAGGTCAGTGGTCGTGCCAATTTGGGATGGCAGAGGACCCTATCTCAGTCTGGTCTTTGATTCAGCTTGGAAAACAAATCCAAATCTTGTAAGCAGAACTGCAGATGGGCCAAGAGAGCTCCTTGGAGGTATGAGGCCTGAAGCCTTGAAGGGACCAGCAAGTAACCGGGCACTAATATCTGAAGGTCCGTCAATCCTAAACAACGGCATACAGCCTCCTGGATGGGTTTCTCTGCCCCATGAAAGTGGAGGTTGGGGGCCAGAGAGATAGTACGGTGGGTAGAACACTTGCCTTTGTACTTGATCAACCCACATTCGATTTCTGAAACCATATGTTGTCCTCCGAGCCTTGCCAGGAGTGCTCCCTGAGCAGAACCAGGAGTAAGCCCTGAGCACCTCCAGGTATGACCCAGAAACAAAACAAAACAAAGAAAAAACTCCAAATAAGTGGAGAGGCTGACACTCATAATCCTAAAAGATCTTCCGAAAACAGGCAATTATGCATTAAAGAAGTCCACTTACCTAGTGACCAATGCCAACCCTAACTGATCTGACAAGTCAGTGAACCACTGTCTTACGGATGTCCCCCATCTGCCCGAAGGGAGAGAGCAGACCGTCTGACACGCGGTATTCCAGCTTCTCCTTTGGGGTAGCACGGGAAACATGCATTTTGGAGTGACACCTAGTTCCTAAATCACAGTATCCAGCGGGTAGCCTGCAGATTCTGGGAAGCTCAAGGGAGCTGCTGCAGGAGAGAAGGACAGTCGGGGGAGGCCAGCGGAGCTGGAAGCAACCTGGAGAATAGAGTCCCAGGAAGCTCCCTGGAGGTGGGGGAAGACAGCAAGGTAGAAACCAGGGGCACTGGCCGGGCCGGGTCGGGTGGAAAGTACAGCCAAGAGGCGGTGTCCGCCTCCTCCCGTCGCGCCCGCCCCCAGCGCCGCGGCACCGATTGTGATAGGCTCAGAGAAGTGCCACCCAGGAAAGGGAACCAATGACAGCCTCGGCTCCCGGCGTGTAGGGGGCCGGACTTCTCCCCACCCCGAACCGGGTGACGCCCTCACTTCCGGGTGCCTGCAAACCGGTTGCCGGGTGTCCGAGGTTGGCGGCCAGGAGCCCGGCTCCGTCGGTACCCTCTCGCCCACCTCCAGCGGTCGCCCGCCGACCGGTGTGAAGGGGTCCCCGTAGCTGCCAGCCACAGCTGAGAACGCGCCTCGAAACCTAAGCCCCGCCCCCGCAGACACCGCCCCTCAAGCCCCGCCCCAGGCCCGCCCCTCCAGACACCGCCTCCCCAGGCCCCGCCCCTCTTATCCCGCGGCCGTCTCCTTGGCGACGCGCGGCGCACTGCGCCTGCGCGCGGATGGCGGCGGCGGCCGAGGGGGGGAGGGGGTGTTTTGGTTCTTGCCGCTCGCCGTCCTTTCCATACTAGCTTTCCAGACAGCGCTGCAGTTGCTTGCTACCTTTCCCCCCTCCCCCGTCCCTCTCCCTTCTCCAGCCCCCGATCTGCCCCTCCTCCTTCCCTCCTGCCTGCCTCTTCCCCAACCTCACCCCCTTTTTTATTTTATTTTCCCTGCCGCCCGGCGTCTGGGCCATTTTCCGAGCCGGGCGTACCCGGGCGCGCGGCCCCGGGGCCCAGTATATGACCCGACGCCTTGCAACCCCTCGCTTCCCCCGAAGCCCCATGTGGCTGCGGGGCCGCGGCGGCGCTGCCCACTATGGCCCGGAAAGCAGTTAGCAGGAAGCGGAAAGCGCCTGCCTCGCCGGGAGCCGGGAGCGACGCTCATGGCCCGCAGGTGAGGCCGGACCCCCCCACCCCCCCACCCCGCGAAGAGCCCGAGACCCCCTCCCCCACCCCCGCCCCCCCCGCGAGGGAGAGGCGTGTCCGCATCGATCCGGGGGCGGGAACCGGGGCTCCCGGGGCTGTGATACCGGCCCCTAGGGTTGGGGATGTGCTCCAGGTTTGGGGATGTGCTCTGGGAGAGGGGTCCACTGGGGAAGCAGTTAGGCCGGAACGGGTGAAGTGCTCCAGGGTAACAGCAGATAGCATATTGGTGCTGGAGCAGTGCAGCCAGCCCGGAGGCTTGGAAGAGACCGTCAGAATTGCGGGGATTGGAGAAAGAGACATCCGAAGAAGTCGAAGGGAATTGAATTGGGAACAAAACCTCTCGGAAGATAGGAGGGAGCATGTAGCCCTGGGGCTGGGGTGGGGTACTTGTATGTCTCTCTCTCTCTCCCTCCCCCCCCTCTTGTAGAGGAAGGCGTCTCCCAAGGGATACCCAAGCTTGAGCTGGGAGTTAGGGCATGTGGGACCCTCCCTACCACCACCACTCCGGGAGATAATAGGCATCATCATCTGTCACTCTTTGGAAGGTAGTCTTGTTGAATAAATTTTTAGTAGCCCTCTCCCCCTTTTCTGGTTTTGGGACCACACCAGTGGTACTTAATGACTTATTTCTGGCTCTGCACTCAGGGATCACTCCTGGCCGGACTTGGGGGAGATCATATGCGATGCCCCAGATCGACCTGGGTTGGCCAGCACACACAGCTTAGCCCCCTACCAGCTCTACTGTCTCTCCAGGCTGGTGTTTTGATTTTCAAATTGTGCAACTGCCCCTTGGTGAGGCTTGATGCCTTTGATAAAGTGCAGCCTGGGAACCCTGCTTGGCTCCTTTAGGGGTTCCACCTTCCATGCTTACCCAGGAGTACTCAGAGAGAGAGAACAGAACTGGATAGAGATGCAACCCAGGCGGATAAGGTCATCACTCAGCCCCTCATTCTCATTGCTCTCAAGGATCTCTGGAGGTGATCTGAGTCCTTCACACCTAAAAAGGCTTATGAAGCCTTTTGTCCTTTTCATTTCCATTCCCTGATTTTCAACCCTTGTTGTTTTCCTGTGAGGCCGGAGCCTTTTAGTTTTAGAAGAGTTAAAAGTGGGTTTTGTAGCTTGAAATTCCTGTTCTATTGCATTTGCCTTTCTGTTGAAGGTAAATCTTGCAGGGATGAGGCCATAAGGGTTTCTTAGTCAAGTAGGCTCTCTTGTTTTGAACTCATGTAGCCAGAAAGCCCTGATTTCCAATATTTCTCTTCACAGTTTGGCTGGGATCACTCACTTCACAAAAGGAAAAGACTCCCCCCGGTGAAGCGATCCTTGGTTTCCTACCTGAAGAACCGTGAAGTCCGGCTCCAGGATGAAAGCAACTACTCTCGGGTGCTGCATGGATATGCTGCACAGCGACTTCCTAGTCTCCTGAAGGAGAGAGAGTTTCACCTCGGGACCCTTAACAAAGTGTTTGCATCTCAGTGGCTGAATCATAGACAAGTGGTGTGTGGCACAAAATGTAACACGGTAAGTGGGGCGGGGCTGGGGGTGCAGATGTGAATTTTCTCACGGTGTTAGCTCCGTGGCCCTGCACATTCTAGACTCCTGCTTCTTGTTTTTTGAGCTGAGTTCTCCTTGGTCTCCTCTCCATGCCCTCCTGGTGTTGGTAACTTCTGCTTCTTTCAAGAGCTCCTTGACTCACTTCTGATCAATTTCCAAGGGAGTTTTTCTTTGGATTTTTTTTTTTTTTTGCTTTTTTGGGTCACACCCCACGATGCACAGGGGTTACTCCTGGCTCTGCACTCAGGAATCACACCTGGCGGTGCTCAGAGGACCATATGGGATGCTGGGAATCGAACCCAGGTCGGCCGCAAGCAAGGCAAACGCCCTACCCGCTGTGCTATCTCTCCAGACCCTTCTTTGGACTTCTTGCCATCTGAATATGCTACTGCTCGTAGAAGGTGTTTCACCAGTTTTTTGTTTGTTTGTTTGTTTTGGGGGCCACACTCAGCAGTGATCAGGACTAACTCCTGGCTTTGTGCTCAGGGATCACTCTTAGCAGGGCTCCGGGGACCAGATGAGGTGATTGAACCTGCATCAGTCACATACAAGGCAAGCTCTCGACCCGCTGTGCAAGTTGCTTTGGCCCAGCATCACCTAGATGTGTGTCTGTGTGTGGTCCTGGAGATGGAACCCCAAGGGTGTATATATAAAGTGAACAGTCTCCCCAGCCCTTAATTGCCTTTGTAAGTCAGCCTCAGTGGACGACTTGGCCAGGGCCTTGTCCAGGATGCACAGTAGTGACAGCCTATGCGTTCTTTGTTAGACTAACACATATGTGGGAGTACTTACAAGAGTGTTTAGCCAAAGATAACGAATAAGGCCAATGTTCATTGGGAATAGAATCTGAAAAATGTATACAGATTCCAGGAGTGTGTGTCTGGTGGCATATTGCAGGAGGGAATGTTTACTCTTTGCAAAGTGACCTAGAAAGGATTCAGCAGAGAGAGAAATTAAGTATGGCTTCAGTAGAAGGGTTTTTTCCATATGATGACATAGATGATAGTTAAGGCACTTGACTCAAACGAACAAAGGAAAATGCTTATTGGTAAGCTGCGTGACCAGTACGACACAAACCAGCCTGTAAAGGCACTGATGAAATGAAGTCATCCGTGTTTGTATTTGATGCCATTGACGTCAGAGGAATGGCAGGTGAAGAGAGCTGGGGTTTGGACATGAGAGGTTCCTTGAAATAAGCTGTGAGAAGAGCTGAGCCAAAGGCCCAGGGCAGTCTGTGTGGATACACAAGCATTGTCACAATGGCTGGGGAAGTTTACACTGAATAGAAGCACATCTTAGATCAAGAGAAGGTTACTTTCGATCAAGAAAATCTTAAAGGGCTAGAGAGGCCATACAGCAGGTGGGGCATTTATTTGCCTTGCATGCAGCTGACCCTGGTTCAATCCCCAGCATCTCATATGGTCCTCCAAACACTGCCAGAAGTAACCCCTGACCCCCAAAAAAGGTCTTCAAAGTGTTAGAAGCGTTTTGTTTACACAGGACCCAGGTAAAGATCTTAACTTGAGTCTTACATAAGAACGTAAAACCATATTGGTGGACCAGAGCGATAGTACAGCGGGTAGAGCGTTTGCCTTGCACGCAGCTGACCCGACATCTTATATGGTCCCCCAAGCACCACCAGGAGTAATTCCTGAGTGCAGAGCCAGGAGCAACCCCTGAGCATCTCTGGGTGTGACCCATAAAGCAAAACAACAACAACAAAACCATATTGGGCCCAAGCTTTCATTTCCTCTTCTGTTGAAAACTATTTGTCATATATAGAAAGCAGCTTTGCATAGCTAAGTAATGGTGGCACGCGACTACAGACTTCCCTTTCCTAGTGTCTTAGGACTCCACTCAGTGGTTTCTGAGAACTGTCATCGTCCCCTGGAGTGGAAAAAAAAAGTCTCCTGTTTGAGGGAATTTATTCCTCTCACTGCATCCAACATCGTAGTTCATACAACATCATAGCTTTTGACAGATGTGGCTGAATGAATCATAGTCTCTTGCTGCTTGACGTTGGTGACCCTATTTTCACAAGGAAAATAATGGCTAAGGAATAATTTTGTTTTGTTTTGGGGCCACACGCGGCGGCTGAAGGCTTCCTCCTGGCTCTGCGCTCAGGGATCATTCCTGGCGGTGCACAGGAGGACCAAGTGAGGTGTTAGGGTTAGAAGACATGGCCTGTGTTCTACCAGCGAGTCAGCCAGTAGTACTGTAGGGGAGGGCCAGTAGTCCTGTGCTCAGGGATCTCCTGGCCATGCTGAGGGGACCTTGTAGTGCTGGGGATTGAATCTAGGCTCCCATAAGCAGGATCCAGCCCTTTGAGCCATCTCCTTGACTCTCTTTCCTTTTTATTTATTTGTTTATTTTTGGATTTGGGGCCACACCCAGCATTAGTTCTGTACTCAGGGCTCACTCTTGGCTATGCTCACTGGACCTTGCAGTCCCTGGGGACAAATTCCAGCCTCTTGGATGCCAGGCATGAGTTTAGCCTGTTAAGTGGTCCCTCTGGCCCTCTTTTTTCCTTCTTAAAGAAGACTTGAAAATCTTGGTGAGGAAACAATATCAACCATTTATTTAGAATATTAAATTTGAGAATCTGGTGTGACTTGACCTTTGTGTACCTGGAATACAGTTGTTAAGACTAAGGCTGGAAAGATACATTGGAATTAAGTTTGGGGAGACAAGCGTCTAAGATACTATTCTGTTGGGAATGATGAGAAAGGGCCCATGGAATTTGTTTTGTTTTGTTTTAAGGGTCACATCCAGTGGTGCTCAGGACTTACTCCTGGCTCTGAACTTCTGGAGTGCTCGGGGGACCATTTGGGATGCTGGGGATTGAACCCAGGTGGACTGTGTGCAAGGCAAATGCCCTCCCCACTGTATTATCACTCCAGCCCTGGGCCCAACGATTTTAAGCAGGGAGTGCTGTGGTTGAAGTGATGCTTTAGGGAGAAAATGAAAAGTGGTTCAGTGCTGTAGTGTAGCCGACCGGCAAAATTGGGATAGTGGCAGAAAGGTAATATTTGAAGAGACAGCTATTTTTAATTTTTGTATTTTTAAATTTATGGTTGGTTTTTGGTTTGTGAATGCTCAGGGATTACTCCTGATTCTGTGCTCAGGAATTATTCCTGGCAGTGCACAAGGGACCATATGGGCTGCCAGGAATTGAACCTGGTTCAGCCACCTCTACAAAAGTGTTCATCCTCTCTCCCGCTCCCAAGCAAGGTAGTTTTTATTGAGTGATGGACTGGAGTGATAGTGCGGCAGGTAAGGGGCTTATAATCCTTGCCTCCCCCACAACCCCATATGGTCCTCTGAGCCCTGCAAAAGTGATCCTTGAGTGCAGAGCCAAGAATAAGCCCTCAGCACTGCTGGGTGTGGCCCCAAAGCAAAAAAAAAAAAAAAAGAGTGTTTTTTTATTGAATGAAACTTATTTAGAAAGCTGTGTGGGGAGAGAAAGGAGAACACTGACTTCTCCATAGTGGAAAACTCAGCAAGCAAAGATACAAAGAATCAGGCAAGCAAAATACAAGATAGATGTTCAGAGGAGAACACTAGGTTTGCGCAGACTCCATAGCTGATGCATAGCTCAGATTTAATCCCTGCAGAGGATTAAGGCCTAGTGGAGACTGATGTCTTCAACCTGAGTGAAGGACAGAGAGCAGGGCAAGTACTGAGCAGATTCCAAAAGAAAATGAGTTTAGCTCTACACTTTCCGTTGGTTGAATTTGGGGAGAGAGAGGTCAAGATGGAAGATGGTGATCTGAGAGCAGGGCATGTTCACGGGATTGTTGGAATTGCTATGTAACAGTAGGGGAGGAAGTTTCATCAGGTTCTAGAGATAGCTCAGGTACACATTCACAGGAGCCTGTGATCAGGCCCCAGCACAGAATCTCCCCTTCATCCCTCCTATTTCCTGAGCCTGAGCACCTCTGGGAATGTTCCCCCTAACCTCCTTGCCCCTGTGCCACTCTAAGGGGAAAAAAAAAGTTTGTTAGGGCTAGAGAGAGAGTACAGCGGGTAGGAGGCTTGCCTTGCAAGTTGTCGAGCCCACATTTAATTCCTGGCAGCTGCACGTGGCTCCCCAGACCCCGCCAGGAGTAATACCTGAGCACTGCCAGATGTGGCCCAGAAACAAACAAATCTGGCAAACTTGCTCTGAAGTTGGAACTCTTTGTTAATGTGTGTATTTTCTGTACACAGCGAGGAGGGCAGTATGGGAAGCATTCCATAGGTATCATTCTGTTTTCAAAGTGAGACTTGTAAGTCAGGAATGGTAGTAACCGTTGACATTGAAAGAAGCCAAGGACAGAATCTTGGTAAACATCTGCATTCTGGGAAATGAACTTCAGGGAGAACAGGAAAGTCAGGAGAGCACCAGAAAAAGTTCAAGAGAGGATGTTTTTAGAGGTAGTTTAAGGAGAAGAGTACTAATAGGAATGATAGGAAGAGCAATAATGTATGCAGAGTTTTTTTTTGGGGGGTGGTTGGGGGGACCCATACCATGTGGTGCTCAGGGCTTACTCCTGGCTCTGTTCTTAGGGTTCACTCCTGATGGGCTTGTGGGGGACCCTAGTGGGTGCTGGGGATTGAACCCAGGTTGTCTGCGTGCAAAGCAAGCGTCCTACTCGCTGTACTATTGCTCTGGCCCCTGTATGCAGAACTACAGCTAGTGGTGTTGGCAGCGTCTGGGAGCCACTTCAGCCATGCTCCAGCTGCACAGTGTGGGCTGGCAGTGTGGTACTTGGTCAGCAGTGCTGGGGTGGGGCTCTGGTGGGGTGGGGTGGGGTGGTATGTGTGCAGTGTCAGGAATTGAACTTGGAGCCACTCACGTTTGGCCCAAATTGAACTTGGGGCCACTCATGTTTGGCCTGTGTTCTCGTTCTTGGAGCTATTCCTCTACCCCGGGGTGTGTGGGGGGTGGTTTTTGTTTTCCATCTAGATGGAGAGACCCTGTATGG